AATCTCTGCTAGCCTGCCCTCTCCTCTTCCTCAACAATCTCTGCTAGCCTGCCCTCTCCTCTTCCTCAACAATCTCTGCTAGCCTGCCCTCTCCTCTTTCTCAACAATCTCTGCTAGCCTGCCCATAGCTCCAAAAACTTGTTTTCTCAAAACATCACTGCTAGCTGGCCCTCATCCATTGTTTTGGCCACTCCACCATAAAAAAGTTCAGCAATTACTGAGCAACAAACATCCCGGGGGGTGCCCAGAAATTAATGGCCTTTTCAGCGGCCAACCCTTTAATGTCTCGCCGGGGGCGCAAAGTTTGGCACAACGCATTTTCTCACTCTCTCTCTCTCTCTCTCTCTCTCTCTCTGTCTCTCTGTGTCTCTCTCTCGCTCGCTCGCCCTTCTATCACCCCAAGCACCCCCTTGGGCTTTTGTTTTTGGACCCATTTGGACTGGGCGGCTAGCGCGAAGGCTCGACGTCATTAAAGGGGGTATTGAAGGCCTGGGGGGGGTGGTCGAAAAGTCCTTAAATTATCTCTGCTAGCTTGCCCTGGGGCCACAATTCCTCAAATTGTCTCGGCCAGCCTGCCCCCTCCCCCCCGCCCAATCTGCATACCCGGAAACGGGCCAGACCCCCCAAAAAACGTGGGCCAAAATTCTGAATGGGCTGGGGGGGCCGCTTGGCAGATTATGGCCCGGGAAGCTATTATCCACTCGCCAACCAGGAGGGGGAAGGGCCCAAACCTGGGGCCCAGGCGAACACATGCCCTGCAGCCATTCTGAAGGGCATCCAAATATTAGGAGCCCAGCCAGGGCCCTAATATTAACGAAATATACAATCTGCATTTTTGGGCGGCATTTAACGGGTGCAGACCGTTCTGGGGGTACGCAAATTCCTGCGCAGGCTAGCAGAGGAAATTTGACCGCCCAGGGCCAGCTAGCAGAGGCAATTTGGGATCGTCAGGCAATGCCTGCCATTTTTTTCTGGCGCTTAAGTCACCATGCGTATAGATTAAAAATGGCCCGTGAAATTCTAGAGTTTTTCCGAAAACTCTCTGCTTGCTTGCATTTTTTGATGTTTGTGGAAGGATACAAAACCGCACTATTAACGAACCTTGTCTCCGCGTCATCAGACTTGTTGTAACATTCCGCCATAAAAAATTTTTTGGTTTCTTTTTCTCCTTTTTTAACCAAATTTTGACTTCACATTGGATTTTTTAGGGCTTATCGGCCTTTTTTGTGTATGGCTCTATCTTTTAGGTAGAATTTTCAGCAGCACATTTTTTTAAAAATGCACCATTTAATAGTATTTTGTGAATTTTACATATTTCCGATGCCCAATTATTGGAATGTTGCCGATTTCGCACTGCAGAATTTTGAAACATTTTCCCGCCTTTTGCCGCCCTCTCTTCATATCCATGAAAAATCCGTATCACTCCAAATGCCGAAAATTAATCAAGTTCTGAATTTTCAGCCGTAAATTTTTCTGAAGATTCGCCATTTAATAGTATTTTGTGAATTTTACATATTTCCGTTGCCCAATTATTGAAACTGCAGAATTTTGAAACATTCTGCCGCCTTTCCCCTCTTCTCCACTCTTAAATATTCTGGAAAAATTACGAATCACTCCAAATGCCGAAGCTTAAGCAACTTCGGAATTTTTCTTTTCTGAAACTATTAATTTTTCTAAAAATTTGCCATTTAATAGTATTTTGTGTATTTTGCATTGACACATACCATATCGTCAGCAATTAGAGAAATTTTTGCCGATTAGGCATCGCTAAATTTTCAAACATCCGCCCGTCGTTTCCTTTCCTCTTAAGATTCCATGAGAAATTCTGTATCGCTCCAAATGCCAAGTTAAAGCAGTTTTAGTATTATCAACAACAAATTTTTTTAAAACTCAGCATTTAATAATATTTTATGTATTTTACGGATATTCCGGTGCCAAATTATTGCAATGTTGCCGATTTCGCACTGCAGAATTTTGAAACATCCGCCCGCCTTTTCCCCTTTCCCTCTTAAAATTCCATGAAAAATTCCGTATCACTCCAAATGCCGAAACTCGAGCCGCTCCCCCGGGTGCTGCTCTTTTCACTTTCCGGGGGTGGGACATATTTTTGGAAAAAGTTCCGCTAGCAAAAGGGCCTAGAGATTCGATATTCTGGTCCAAAACCGCTATTTCCTGATCCGAATTTTTGTAAAACTCGAAACTACTCGTTTTTCTTTTTGATATTTCCTATTTTCCAGTTTCTATTGCAAATTTAATAAAATGGATTCATAAAATCGTCAGTTTTTATTTTTCGAAGGGTACTTTGCTTGAATTTGTGTTTGAACTTAGCTGCAAACTTTATTTTATATTGGTTTATCGTTTTAAAAATCTAACTTTAACTTTGCCGATTATATTATTTTATTTTTGTTCAAATTTTCTATTACTGCTACTTCATATTTAATTCCCGATTTTCTATCATATTTTTATGCCAATTTAACGCTTTTTTCCAGAAAACGGCGCCCGCAGCCCGCCGTGCGATGCGTAGATGAGTCTATGCGAGCTCGGGTCGCTCAGATTTGAGGTAAGAGTTTAATTATTTAAAAGATATAAAATGACTATGCAAAATAAACTTCTTGTATATTCTATGAATCAAAACTTAAATTGGACTACACTCGAGAAAAGCGGGTATGACAAATTCTAAGTTTCGCATCTTCAGCTAACAGGATTGAAACAGAAGTAAAAAATGTTCCGTTTCAATAACGTCTAGCATCCCCGAATAGCCGGCAAATTTAATGCACTGCCTTCTGAGCAACGCTAAAATTCCGCAAATTCTCTCTGCTAGCCTGCCCCGGGCTGAGGCGAAAATTCGAAGAGTATAAATACGATTTAATCTTAATCTATGATCTTCAGCACCCTTTCATCAAGACCATTAACAAACTATGAAAACACAATTCAGCGATCGTATGTTTCAAAAATGTTTACCATCCACACATCGCCGATAAATATAATACTTTGCATTCTGCGCATCGATCCCATTCCTCAAATTCTTTCTGCTAGCTTGCCCTGGCTGAAGCCGAATTCAGCGACGGCAATTGCGGCTTGATCTTAATTTGTTGCAGTCCTGAAAACAGGTTATTAAGTTCATTCGAGAACAAAATATGAAAACACAACGCAGAAACTACATGTTTTAAAAATGTTAACCATCCGCACATCGCCGATAAATATAATACCCTGCATTCTGGGCATCGATTTCATTCCTCAAATTCTCTCTGCTAGCTTGCCCAGGCTGAAGCTGAATTCGGAGGCGGTTATTGCGGCTTTATCTTAATTTGTTGCAGTGCTGAAAACGGTTTATTAAGTTCATTCGAGAACAAAATATGAAAACACGGTTCAGAAATCACATGTTTCAAAAATTTCTACCATGCGCGAGTCGCCGAGAAATATAATATCCGCATTGGTCTGTGTCGATTCCTCAAATTGCCTCTGCTAGCCTACACAGGCAAAAGCGGAAATTGAAAGAGTGTAATTTCCATTTGATCTTATCTGTTAGAAATCCTGAACACAATTTCTTAAGGCCATCCGCGAACAAAGCATGAAAACTCAATTCAGAAACCACATGTTTCAAAAATTTCTACCATCCGCGGATGGCCAATAACTGTAATTCTCGCATATTCGGGGCCAAAAAAACTTCTAAAATTTCCCAAATTGTCCCTGCTAGCCTGCCTATTTTCAGGTGGAATGGCTCGCAGAGGCGCTGACGGCCGTCCAGGGCTTCTACGCCCCCTTCCATCCCTATGTGGCCATGGCACTTTGTATGGCAGGTGAGGGTAGTCACTACAATCCGTCAAGAATTTATCAAAACGCAGAAATTTATAACAAAAGTATCATATCTAGGCACACTAATGAACATCTCCACCGTGGTGGTCCTCACCAGGCCGTCAATGATCTCGGCGGTGAACCTGTTGCTGTGCGCGGTGGCTGTATGCGATGTCGTGGTGATGTCGTCACTATCGCTATTTCTATATCACTTCCTGTTATCGGCGCAATCGAGGTGGGCCAGCTAGCAGTGATTGTTGAGGAAGAGGGGAGGGCAGGCTAGCAGAGATTGTTGAGGAAGAGGGGAGGGCAGGCTAGCAGAGACTGTTGAGGAAGAGGGGAGGGCAGGCTAGCAGAGATTGTTGAGGAAGGGGGAGGGCAGGCTGCAGGTTGTTGGGAAGGGTGGGGCAGGCTAGCAGGTCGTTGGGAAGAGGTGGGGCAGGCTAGCAGTGTTGTTGGGAAGGGGGAGGGCAGGCTACAGAGTTGTTGAGGAAGGGGGGCAGGCTAGCAGTGATTGTTGAGGAAGAGGGGAGGGCAGGCTAGCAGTGATTGTTGAGGAAGAGGGGAGGGCAGGCTAGCAGAGATTGTTGAGGAAGAGGTGAGGGCAGGCTAGCAGAGATCGTTGAGGAAGAGGAGAGGGCAGGCTAGCAGAGATTGTTGAGGAAGAGGAGAGGGCAGGCTAGCAGAGATTTTTAGGATTCACAAGTTGGTTTTTCAGGTGTGATCAGCAAGACTACACCCGAGGATGGGCCAATTTTATGTACTACCACTCGCAGATTACTGTAATCCTCCATGCCACCAGCATTTGGCTTACGGTAAGATAACGAGAGAGAGAGAGAGAGAGAGAGCGCGAGAGAAATCTCGCTTTTTAGGTAATCCTCGCCCAAATTCGTGTTCTAACTATCCGAAAAGCGAGGGTCGGCCCAACCGAAGGAATTGGTGTCAGAGGTACGGTAGCTTTGGTGTCACCATCCTTTTAAAGGTACCCTCGGGATCGCGCTTATCACTCTACTCATCTGTACCGCCATCAACATGCCAAATATGTTGACTTTTCAGGTTTGAATATGGGGTTTATAGCGAGAAAGAGAGGGAGAGAGAGAGAGAGAGAGAGAGAGAGAGAGAGAGAGATCGTTTAGATAGCTCAACTCCCAGCCGAAGCCCTTCTCCCCTGCCTCCTTGATGGTGACGTCGGCTCAAACGTGACGATGGTCGTCGAGCTGGGGACGGTGTATATGGTAAAGCCGGACGAGGATGATTGTGGGCTTTTAAAGGTATGTGGAAGCTTAGAAATGACCCTGTAACAAATAAAATGTTTCACCTTTTTCCAAGTGGCCGAAGAATTTTAGCATAGCATTCGGTCGTCGGGTTTCAGCGTTTTCCAAAAGATTCTGTCATTTCCCCCATTCTTCAATAATCCCTGCTAGCCTGCCTCGTGCAATTTTCGAAATTGTAACTGCCAAAAGGTCGCGTTTAAAAATCCCATTCGAAAAAATAACATGTTTTGGTTCTTTTCAAAGAGTAGAAAAATATTATCGTAGCAATAGGCGGCTGGTTGCTAAAGTAAGTATTCTGTTAGATATTTCTACCTCAGTTATCTCTGCTAGCGGTTCTTTTCTCAAAAATTCGGCTAATTCGCCTTTCCCCAGCGATCTCTGCTAGCCTGCCCGTTTGCAATTTCCGAAACCAAAACCTGCCGATGTATCGCGCTTAAAAATCGAAATAAAAAACATGTTTCGGTCTTTTTCAAGTAGTAGCACAATATTATCATAACAAGCCTCCGCCCGGTTGTGAACAGCCTTGTCTAAAGGACTTCTGCAAGTTCTCCCATTCCTCAATAATCTCTGCTAGCCGTTCTTTCCTCGAAAAGTTCTGCTAGTGACCCTTTCCTTAATGATCCCTCCTAGGCTGCCGATGCGAAACTTCCGAAATTATAAACTGTCAATATCTCGTGCTCAAAATCCATTCAAAAATCATGTTTCGGTCTTTTTGAAGTAGTAGAAAAATATCATCATCGCAATCCACGGCCGGGCGACTCTCAAGCTTTCCCATATGTTCTCTGCTAGGCGCCTTGCTCAAAAATCTTCCTAGTTTGGCTTTCCCCAATAATCCCTGCTAGCCTGCCCTTGTGCAATTTTCGAAATTGTAAGTGCCAAAAGGTCGCGCTTAAAAAATTCCATGCAAAAATTTACATGTTTCGGTCCTTTTCAAAGAGTAGCAAAATATTATCATAACAATCCACGCCTGGTTACCAAGTATTCTGCTAGATATTTCTCCCTCAATGATCTCTGCTAGCGCTTCTTTTCTCAAAAATTCGGCTATTCGCCGTTCCCCAGCGAAGTCTGCTAGCCTGCCCTTTTGTAATTTCCGAAATTACAATCTGTCCAATATATAGCACTTAAAAGCCCAAATAGAAAACATGTTTCGATCTTTTCCAAGTGGTTAAACAATATTCTCATAACAATTATCCTCGAGTTATAACCAGTATCCATTTCCTCAATAAACTCTGCTAGCTGCTTTTTCGGCTAGCATTTCGTTTTCAATAATCCTTGCTAGCTGTTTTCAAACCTTTTTCCGAAACTATAACCTGCCGATATAACGTGCTTAAAAATCCCGATAAAGTGACATGTTTTGACCTTTTGCAAGTAATAAAACAATATTATCATAACAATCCGCTACCCGGTTCCGAATCGATTATCAGCCTTGTCCAAAGCCCATCTGCTAGTTCTCCCATTCCTCAATAATCCCTGCTAGCCTGCCCTAAAAAAATTTACGAAATTAGAAGCTGACATTATAGCGCGCTTCAAAACATATAAGAAAAAAATGTTTTTATGTTTTTGGAGTAGTGGAATAATATTATCATAGCAATCCGTCTTCTTTTATGGTTATTGGTAATTTATCGATTATTGGTAATAGCTGCTCTTTCCTCAAACATTTCTGCTCGTTCGCCTTTCCTCATTCATCCCTGCTAGCCTGCTTTTGTGCAATTTTTGAAGTTCTCACTGAATAATCGAATCGAAAAACAATGTTTCGATCTTTTTCAAGTAGTAGAACAATGTGATTATAGCAATACAGCGCTGGGGCAAACATATCATCCTTGTCCAAAGCACTTCTGCTACTTTTTCCATTCCTCAATGAGCTTTGCTAGCTGTTGTTTCTTCAGTAATTTCTGCTAGTTGACCTTTCCTCGATAATCCCTGCTAGCCTGCCTCTCGGCAATTTCCGAAATTATCACTGTCAATATCTGGCCCTAAAAAGTTCCAAATCAGAAAATGGCATGTTTCGGTCTTTTCCAAGGAGAAAAGCAATTTTATCTTAGCAATCGAACCACAATTCCCAATCACGATGCTAGTCGCCAAAGGATCTCGCGAACCTAGCTTTCCTCAAAATTCTCTGCTAGCCTACCGTTGCTCACTTCGCAAGATTCCAATTTTCAGGTGGCCTACTGGACGAATGGGATCCTGTTCAAAGTGGTCCCCTGCATCCTGCTCACCCTCTCCATCGTCGCGCTCCTAAAAATTATTGCCGACGTGGCGAACAGGCGGAAAAATTTGGCACAGGTCAGTGGGCTTTCTGCGGCTTCTACTGTCCTTATAAACTGTTTAATTCCTAGAAAACTTGAATCTTTTCTCCATTTTCTCTCGCTCTCTCACTCTCTCTCTCTCCATCTCCATTTTCTAGGTGATGAACAAGAAGAAAATGCCGCGCGACCACACAACCCCAATGCTGGTCGCCGTTTTGTCGATATTCCTGGTAGCTGAATTACCACAGGGAATCCTCCACGTCTCTAATGCTATTTTTGACAACGAGACTTTTCATAGACGGGTAAGTTACACTAGGAATCTCTGCTAGCCTGCCCTCTCCTCTTCCTCAACAATTTCTGCTAGCCTGCCCTCTCCTCTCAACAATCCCTGCTAGCCTGCCCTTCCTCTCCTAAAATCCTGCTAGCCTGCCCTCTCCTCTTCCTAACTCTCTGCTAGCCGCCTACCTCTTCCTCAACAATCTCTGCTAGCCTGCCCTCACCTCTTCCTCCACAATCTCTGCTAGCCTGCCCTCTCCACCTCCGCTTTCAGGTCTACATCCCCCTCGGCGACCTGATGGACCTGTTGTCCCTCATCAACTCGGCCGTCAACTTTATCATCTACTGTGCGATGAGCCGGAAGTTCCGTGCCGTCTTCCTCAACCTGTTCCTCGCCTGCCTGCCCGAAAGAATCGCCAAGTCAGTCGGAATTCGGTTTTAAAGGCCCTTGAAGGGTGGAGTCGAAGACTCCGCCCCTCAGCCCGTTTAAACTCAGAAAAATTTCCTCGAATCTAGGCGTCGACGTCAAAAGGTGTGGTTCGTACAATTGGGCTGAACCCAGAGCAGTGGCTTGGGATTTTGGCCGTAAAAAAGGAGGCCGAGAGCGGATTCCGTTGCGATGTAAATTGCAATGCTTGTTCAAGGGCAGGCTAGCAGAGATTGTTGAGGAAGAGGAGAGGGCAGGCTAGCAGAGATTGTTGAGGAAGAGGAGAGGGCAGGCTAGCAGAGATTGTTGAGGAAGAGGAGAGGGCAGGCTAGCAGAGATTGTTGAGGAAGAGGAGAGGGCAGGCTAGCAGAGATTGTTGAGGAAGAGGAGAGGGCAGGCTAGCAGAGATTGTTGAGGAAGAGGAGAGGGCAGGCTAGCAGAGATTTTTAGGAAATGGGCCCGTAATTTGCACCGCAAACGGAATCCTGGCACCGCCGTAGCACCCGCTTTGCACCCCCAACCCCGACCCGTCTGGGTCCCGCCGCGAACCCCCGCTTTTTCGAAATAATCGCATTTTCAGGAAATAATTTACGTTTTTCAGGAAATGGCGCGAAGACTGGGGCGACACCGGCGACACTTCCAGACCGCGGCCATCCGGCTACACCGGAACGGAGCAGGTAGCCGCCTGGGTGGGTGCCGTGAATGGCACGCACTTTTTTGAGTCTTGTTTTTTGGAGCCTGTAGCAAATGGCATTTGGAATGGAACGGAATGGATACTGTAGGAGTTAAAAAAGAAAGAAGGAGGATTTATGGTGAACGGTATACGGTAGAAACGGAATCTTTAAGATGGAATTACTGTAGCTACTAAGGAATGGATACTGTTTATGTAGGTATTGTAATTGCTAAGCGGCGGGGTAAAATCATAGTATACGGAAACGATAAAAATGGGATGTCTCATGAATGGGCACGGTAGAGCGAAGATTTTGCAAATATTCTGCCCAAGCCTCTGATCCAAAAAAATATTGAATTAATTCCGGCGAAATACCGTAGTCCGATACTGCATAATTTTTCCCCCAAATTCAGCAAATTTCAAAATTTCTACGGTAAATGCGAGGTACTGTAGTCCGCAGGAAAGGTCAAATTACAACATTACGAAATACAAAAAAAGGATGTTTTATGCCTGGCCGTGGAAGATTAGACATTTTATACGGTAATCGGTGCACCATATTTGACACTAATGATCTAATTACCGTAATCAATTTGTTTTACTTTGCGTATATTTTGATAAGAAAGAGTAGCTACCGTATCCCAGGATACCGTAGGTTGCAGTAGCCTCGAGGAGGGGTAAAATACAACATCAGAAAAATACAAAAATTAGCATGTTTCCTGCCTGGCCGGGGGTGGATTAGAATTTTGTACAGTATTGTAGCGACGAAATCTGACGGCAAAATTTGCAACAGTAATAATTGAATTAACGTAGTCGATTTGTTCTTTTCTGTGTGAGTTTTTTGCGTTTTAAAACCAGCGAACGGCTACTTATTTTTTTACGGCGCCAAGTTTGATAAAATTCCGAGGTTGCTGTAGCTTCGAGGAGGGGTAAAATACAATATCAGGAAAATCCAAAAATTAGCATGTTTCCTGCCTGGCCGGGGTGAAATATAAATTTTGTAGAGTAATGTATCCTCGAGAATCTGTCGACCAAATCGGAATGAGTAGTCTTTGGATTACCCTAGTTAATTTGCACTGTTTGCGTTCTAAAAATACGGAATGGTTACGGTAGCTGCCGGGTACTCTAATTTCCAGCATTGCTCCAGTTGCCTCAAAAAAACCCGATTACCTCTCAAAAAAATTGCAATGATTCAGGGCAGGGCTATTGTCGTTGCGAATTTTTGAAAATAATTTCAGAACCGTCCTGAACGTAAAATTTGTCAATCGGATCAACTACCGTAGTACTGCATTCCCTGGTTTTTTTACAAACTCATTAAACCGCCAATTTTCTCCGGTAGATGCGGAGTACTGTGGTTTCCGGAAGGGTAAAATTAACGTTCTTAAGCTTCTTAAAAAAAATTAAAATTTTTCCTGCCGGGTTCTTATCAGAAATCTTGCGAAGGCATTATTATTGGGTTTTGGTCAGCTATAAATGTTTCCAATAATTCACAGCTACCGTACGATCGCATTTTTTACTTTTGTGTAAAACTGATATAAGTTATAAAACTTCTTTAATAATTTTTACCACTTGCCTTCAGTGGTTGCTCTATCGAAGGGTGAGTTTTAAATATGAACATTTGTGTGGAGAACCCCCATAAATTTATTTTTTGGGTTCTCCCCCTAATTTCCGTACCGTAAAAAGCGTATAAACCCCATTAAATATCATTTTCTGGGCTCTCCTCGAATTTGCATACCGTTCATTTTAGCGAACAGTGAAAACCGTGAGCTCACTGGTTTGTTTTGACGATTTTACAAGCACAAAACACTACACAGCGCTTTCCAAGAAAATGGCACTCTATCCGAGACTGTACTCTCTGAATTTAATAGTTGGAAATGATTCGAGGATTAATAGGAGTTAAATTTAATGGTTGGGCAAGGCGGGGTTATCGATTTTTGGCTATGGATTCCCTAATTTTTCACCACCGCGACACGCGACGCGCACGTCTGACACGTCGAGTCGCGCTAAGTAGCGCGTAATTTCAAGGTGCCGCGACACGCAACGCACGCTCGCGCGTAATTGGCACCTGAGCGTGCGCGTTGCACGTCGCGGTTCGAGACTGGGAGCAGCGTGTTGCGAGTCGCGGACCTCTGGTGCTCGCGCGTAGCGTGATGCGGCTCTAAAGCTAGTGCGCGTCGCGTGTCGCGGGCCCACTAGCGCGTTGCGTGTCGCGGATCCATGATGCTGGCGCGTTGCGTTTCGCTGCTCTAGTCCGCTTGCGCGCCGCGTGTCTCGGTGCTATGCTCACGGCAACGCGTTGAGTGCCGCGGTGCTGGGCGTAGAGTGCGCTGCGTGCCACGACCTAGCCCGAGTGCGCGTCGCGCTTCGCGGCTCGGCGATCTTAGCGCGCTGCGTGCCGCGGGCCTGAGCGGAGCGCGGGTTACGGGTCACCGGTCTGCGAAATCGGTAAACAATCCATAGCCAAAAATTTATTGCCATGCCTGCCTTGCTCGGCCTTTTAATGGACCCCTATTGATGCCTAACCGTCCATCGCCTTGCATGTCTATCGTTTCAAGCAGCTAGAATTTTTCTTTTCGGGTGGCTGGTTGGCTTTGGGGAGCATGATAGAGAAGCTATGGAGAGAGAGATGGAGCGAGATAGAACGAGATAGAGAGAAAGAGCGATAGAGACAGAGAGAGAGAGCGAGCGAGAGAGAGAGACAAATTCCACACCTTTCTAGCTGGCCCTGACTTCCGGCCATCGTCCTTCGGCGACCAGCTTGCTGTTGCGCTTCGGGTCGAAGGAGAACATTCCGCGCATGTACACCGCCAACAACCATTTGGCGGCGGATGAGCCCAGTAAGCTGGCAGAGACCATTTGAGAAATTATTACGCCTCCATAGCTTCCAGGGGCAGCCTAGCAGAGACAATTTGAGGAACCAAATCCTTATCATTAATTCCTAGGAAGCGGCAGAAGCTCCCCATGCCCTCCCCTACTCTCCGTGCCCCATCTGAAGTCGCCGAGAATCTCCTTCGACATGACGGCCGACGAGGAGGAGATACGCCGAAGGAGTGCTGACGTCACGGAGGTACGTTTTAAAGGGACTGTGACAGCTGAAAAATACCTCTAGGTGACCCTGCCCGTCCCGTTGAACATCCACAAGAAGACGGTCGGGTCTAGGCTTCGGTGGCAGCCGCTGGAAAAGATACGGTATGTTTTTCCAAGTTTTTCCATCTGTGATGGCCTGCCCTCTCCTTTTCCTAAAGAATCCCTGCTAGCCTGCCCTCTCCTCTTCCTCAACAATCTCTGCTAGCCTGCCCTCTCCTCTTCCTCAACAATCTCTGCTAGCCTGCCCTCTCCTCTTCCTCAACAATATCTGCTAGCCTGCCCTCTCCTCTTCCTCAACAATCTCTGCTAGCCTGCCCTCTCCTCTTCCTCAACAATCTCTGCTAGCCTGCTCGTTTTCAGGAGGCTGCTCGGCTCTCGCCATTCCGAAGATCCACCCCCAGCCGCCTCCAGCCGCCATTTCGAGACGAGTAGCGTGTATTGAACGGGAATTCCGTTCGACGACGGGTCACGCCAATAAACTATTTTAATTTGTACATTTTTGTCTGAAAACGACACATCAGATATCTACCATTAATGCACCGAGGCTTGGGGAAAATCAGGCAGACTGGCGGCGATTCTTTGCCCGGTCGGTGGAGAGAGGAGCGAGGGGAGTGGGGAGAAAATTGTCGACGTAAAAAGCCGACAGGGTGATCAATCAATTCCTGGGATCCAGTTTTTCCACTGCAATACTATGGACACGGCCGAACGCTGGTAGTTTCGTTGCGCAATCGAAAGGGGGGTCAAAAATTGATGGGGAAATTCTTGCTATAACAATTGGCCTAACAAGGCATACGTATGGTATTCCCCTTCAGGCAACTACGACCTGCTAACGGTTGCTCCCAATATTTTGTGCTCCAATTTTTGCAAGCGGTTTCTAGGCCGAATTCTTCGGGCTCCAAAATGAGCCCCTATTCCTCCGAGGAACCCCAAGAGATCGCTCGCAATTTTTTAGCGCTCCTGACTTGTCCTGTCTGCCAGCAGGCTTGTAGGTTTTTCGAGTAAAAATTGCCGGCCTGCCAACACGCATCATAAGCCTAAGCCAAGCCTAAGCCTCAGCCTAAGCCTAAGCTACGCCCAAGCCTACGCCTAAGCTTAAACCAAGCCTAAGCCGAGGTTCAGCTTGCACCTTGCTTTCAATCGCCCTTTAGACAGCCTCCTGCCCAGCCAAATCCCACGATTTCCGGTGCGATCCACGAAATTCGGAGTATGCTGTGCTGGCTGTGCCATCCAACGACACGCTCCGGTCATTCCGTTTCTACCGTACATAGGTACATAGGGGAAACTAGCAGAGATTGTTGAGGAAGAGGAGAGGGCAGGCTAGCAGAGATTGTTGAGGAAGAGGAGAGGGCAGGCTAGCAGAGATTGTTGAGGAAGAGGTGAGGGCAGGCTAGCAGAGATTGTTGAGGAAGAGGAGAGGGCAGGCTAGCAGAGATTGTTGAGGAAGAGGAGAGGGCAGGCTAGCAGAGATTGTTGAGGAAGAGGAGAGGGCAGGCTAGCAGAGATTGTTGAGGAAGAGGTGAGGGCAGGCTAGCAGAGATTGTTGAGGAAGAGGAGAGGGCAGGCTAGCAGAGATTGTTGAGGAAAAGGAGAGGGCAGGCTAGCAGAGATTGTTGAGGAAAAGGAGAGGGCAGGCTAGCAGAGATTGTTGAGGAAGAGGGGAGGGCAGGCTTTTTCAACGTTTTCTGCCAGTCGCCCATTGTCGAAAGTTGTCAGCATTATGCTGCAACGTTCGATGGTTTGCTAAAAGGTGTACGTTACCGTAGCGCGGCGCCCCCTCCCCCGGAGAGGGGCGGAGCAGCTTTCGTATTTATCGACCAGACGAACTGACGGATTTTATTAGGGTTTACGACCAGGTCTGTGTTGGTATTGCGATAGCAAAAGCCCAGCTATCTTTTGCTTTACGCCCAGCAGCTTTTGCCTAAGCCCAGCGAGTAAGACCAACACTTTAACCTGTTCCCTTTTATACAACGATGAGTGTATTTGTATTCTAATGGTTTATACTGCCGATAAACTTTATGTTTATATCTTGTGTTCTCTATACCGAAATGCACTGGATTCTAATACACGATTGTAGAAACTACCACTGAACATTGTGTGACTTCTTGTCTAGCTTCTTGGGATCTCTTGCCATCTCCCGGTCCGTGTTCTATACCGGATGCAGGGTTGTCCGAGCGGGGCCCAAAGGGCACAGTCCAAGGTGATAGTGTGGCAACCCGAGCCCTCCTCCAGGATCTTTATAGTAGAGGATTTGGCGTAGGGAGACTATTACTTTCGACATGGTGCGTCTGGGATACAAATTCGGGTCTAGAATTCCAGTGCTATCGGTCCAAAATGAGGCAAAATGACCAGAACAAACGACCAGCATCTTTCTAGATCATTTGTGTTTGTTGGTGTAATCATTTGGCCTTGTCTTTCAAGTTTTACTTGTCGACATTGCCTGAAGCGCTCAACTTCCTTCTAGGGCCCGCAAGGGCTGCCCGGCATTGTCTCTAACTTGCTGTGTGAGGGTCGTTGATGTCGCTTCCCTTCCAAAAAGACCAGCTGCAATGCCTCTCGCAAGAGAAGCCCGGTATTGTCTCTAACTTACCGCGGTGGCTGTTGCTTTTCACGCCCAGGAGTAGGTCATCTGACTTTTCTGAGGAATTTCGGCATTGGTACCGTCTGACTTTCCGAAGAAATGCCTGGCATTGTTTCTAACTTGCCGTGGAAGAGACCCACTTTCCTTTTAGGGTACACCAACACTCACTAGCTTTTTCTTTTACGCCCAGTCAATCGACTTCTCCAAGAAAATGCTCCGCGTTGTTTCCAACTCGCGTAGAATCTTTCCGAAGAGATGCCTGGTATTGTTTCTAACTTGCCGTGGAGATTGTCTGCTACTTTTAGAATTGGCACTTGCCTAGTTAGGTACTGTCCTCTTTTGTTTTCAATACAAGTATGCGTTGATCAACATCGCCATACTATCCAAAAGCCCCTTTGGGCATGCGTTTTTAGTGCTCGCCTTATCGCCCCTTTGGCAAAATTCTATTGCGCGCCCCCACGCTGCCCGCACAGGCACGGTCCTCCCACCCTAGTTTTTCGTCCTTTCGTCTTTTCGGTTTCCAATTTTCCTGTAAATGCCTTTTACTTTACTAAATTAACCCCTTTTTGCACTAGTTAGTATTAATACCCACTTATTTAGCCTTTTTACCTTTCTTTTAGTGAAAAGACCAGCAAGTTTTACCTTTTTCGCAAGGAAAACTTTTTATATGTCCAGCTGATGCCCAGAAAGGAGTTTATAAAAGCCCAGCACGGTATTTCCGTTCTTTCTCTCATTTTGGGAGCAAAGTCCAGCAAGTTTCTTCCTTCTTTCAAAAGGAAAACACCGCGCTGAAGAAGATTCCACAAGAAACCAAGGAGGAAGTCGACGACGGCAACGCCGCAAAGAGATGTATGGCCTACAATGATGGTTCATCGCTCAATCCCTGGAAATATTGGAGGAAGGGACCGTGAATTACAAAGATTTTGACGAAAGCAAGGTAAAAAGCCCATCAAAACATTTGGTTTTCAAATGTTTGTGGTCGAATACATTTCGCACCGCGGGGCTGATAATGTTTGTGGCGAATGCTATATTGTTTGCCCTCATTATCATGCTCAAGCCCAGCAGAAAAGTTTCGTTACGCTTGTGCGCGGATGCTATATTGTCTGCCCTCGTAACGATAACTTCTTCTTTACGTCCAGCCAAAAGGAAACTTAATCATGAGTGTGCGCGGATGCTATATTGTCTGCCCCCGTGGTTAAATCCTTTTCTAATGCCCAGTAGGAAGACTTTATATGGGATGTGTGACGCCGTTTATGCTCACCCCCACATATAAAAGTATTACACTTCCACAAAGCCCAACACATTGAGAAGAATTTCTCAGTGCACGTCCAGCGAAAATCCTGATATACTTCCGCGTTGCTTTTGATTGTCCTCTGTGTGTCATTCGTTCAATGGCTGTGACTCGCGGGCGCTAAAGATCAAGCATTCTACTTTCAGGTAAACTGAAGTCGGAAATGGCTGATGTTAGCATCGCGACTGTTACGGCGTATTTGGACGGATGGCCGGGGCTCAAGAGCAACGCCGAGAAGCTGTTTGCCACTGCCGACCGGTTGGCTACCCTGCGCAATCGGGACCACAAGGCTTTGACGAACAGTCAGGTACTAGCCGTCCAGCAAATCAACCGTAGGGTGTGCGTCATGCGCCCCTTGGTTGCACGCCCAGTCGATCCCGCCCAACTCGTGTTACACGAGGCCTTTATGGCACGAGGCGGTGCTCTTTGTCTAGCAGAAATGCTAGACACTCGTTCCAAAATCATCGATGCTTATCGATTGATTACCGGTGGTGGCGATATGCCCGGTATCGGTCCCAACGGGGATCCGATCCCAGAACCGGACGAGAACGCCCAGAACAATGCCCAGAATGAAAATCATCTTGATGACAATCAGGATGATAATGTCCAGCCCCTCGTGGTCGAAGAAGCTGAGGATCAAACCGAAGCTGCTAAGCCTCAGGGGGACGCCCAGTTTCAGGTTGGTGTGACGGTCGACGTTATGCAGAAGATGCTCGACGGGATGACCAAGCAAGTGACCGAGAACATCTCCGGTCAAGTGCAAAAGATCGAGCTGCAGCAGGCCGCGATGAGCATCAAGGTCGACTGTCTCTCTAATGCCCATCAGCACTTGCTCGAACGCATCAAGACGCTTGAGTCGAAACACCAACCGATGTCCAGCTCTGATTGGAATATGCCACCCCCTGTCGGGTCATATTCGAATCCCAATAATGCCCAGCCGGTTACGCCGCTTCGTAATGCCCAGCCTAGTACACCAATGTACAATGCCCAGCGAGAAATTTTCCCACAACCGGGATTTTTCTCCCCCGATTCCCCCGATTCCCGCACGGCTACGAAAGTGACCGATGAAGAGATTGACGCGCTTTTCAAATTGGCACGCCCAGCTATGTTTACTAGTCTCGATGGCCGCAATCTCTTCGAACAGCGGAATTCGGTGGAATCAAGGGACGCGAGAGCCAAATACCGAGGCCTCAACTTCGCTATCCATGACGTTAAGCTACCCAAGTTTAACGGCGAAATTTCCAAGTTTCGCAATCATTGGATGCGTTGGATCGAAAAAGCGAATCAGGTGTGTATCTCTGATGGAGAGAAACTTGATTTGCTTCGGTTGAGCACTGAGGGCTTGGTGCACGAAGCACTAAGCCTGTACGAAATGTCGTCGCTAGGCCTACTCCAAGCCACGCGTTTCCTCTTTGAGGAATACTACGACAGTACCAACCGCCAAACACAGGCCGTCCAGCAAATCATGACTCTGCCTCAGGTGGATGGTGATTTCAAAAACATTGACGTGGTCTTCGCGACCCTACGCCCAGTTGCCGTGGAACTTGATGACCTTGAAGCAAGGGATGTT